CCCCCCCCCCCCCCCCCCCCCCGCCCGCTTCCAGCACCAAAGGCAGGGCTGCGGGCCTCTGTGCAGGAGGAAGGCCTCAGCCTCCTCCCCGGGCCCGCTGTGTGGGCAGCAGCTGGGGCCTAGGCTCCCGGCTGCGCACGTGTGCTCCATGTGCCCCACTCGCTCTTGGGCTTCGGCCTGGAAGCGACGTGATCAGAGCATTGACCTTGTGCTTCTTGGACCTGGTGAATGCTCTCTCCTTGTTTACCTCGTGTTCTGGGCTTTGAGGAACATGACACAGTTTGAGACAGACACCGTTTCCTTAAATGAAGAAATGCAGGAGATTTCCGGGCCTGACCACTGCTTTTGACAGTTGTCTTTTCCTCACGTCAGTGCTGCCTTAGAGAAAGGGGCCGGCCCCCGCTCGTGCTCTGCTACTGCTCGGGTTTCTAACACGCGCCTTGGGCCTTGGGCCCTTGGCACAGTGGCGGCCCAGTCCCCCCTGCCCCCCGGCGCCCCCCTCTCGCTGCAGCTTGCCTGGGGCGGCCGGGTGTCCGCCGGTGACACTGCGCTGTGTGTCTAGCGCCCCGGCCGTTCTTCCACCTCCCAAGGTACAATTGTGCATCTCCCTGGCCAGGACGCCACAGAGAGGGACGGAACCTTGGATTGGTGGTAAAAATCTGTAAACCGGTCTGTTTGCCCAAGTGGCTGTCGGATGATTCTGGAGGCCCCTGAAAACTGCCCCGCGGTGGTTTATTTTACTTTGCCTGTGGTCAGTCCTCTGTGAAGTACATTGTAGCGTGGGTGCAATAGATGGTTCAATAAATGTCTACTGCAGACCTCGGGCCTGTTAGCCTCACTTGCTGTGGCGACAAAAGGGGCCGCTGCTCCCAGCAGAGTCAGACACTCAGGTCAGTTCTGGGCTCACACCCCTGGCTGGGTGCAGGGGGCAAAGTGAGGGGTGCTGTCGCGCCACAGGCTGGTTGAGGGCCCGCGGGCTGTTCGGGCTCTGCACCCAGTGGGGGAGACCGCCTTCTCCCAGCCCAGAGAGTGGTCTGGAGGGTGGAGGCCAATAAGGGCTTTGGCCAGTTCTCCCCAGTAGTCACTTAAGTTTTTACCTTTTAAAAATATGTCTCTTTAGTCCTTAAGAGGAGGAGTAAAGCTTTTGAGAACAAGCAGAGATTCCACTTGAGAGCCATTTCCAAGGCTCAGGCAGGAGGTGTATTTATGGTGAAGTCGGGTGGGCTCTCATACGGGGACAGGGACCAGGGACTCTCTCTATGCTCCAGAAAAGCACCTTCCCTGAAAACACTATTTAAAGGGACCCTACAGCAAATCCTCCGATACCTAATCCTCGGTAACACGAATCCTTCCTGATATTTACTTTTTCTCCATATTCTTGAGAGGCCTTTGCTTTCTGCATCTGTACAGTCTTTCTCCTGAATCGAGGCTTCTGTGTGAACCTCCATTTGCTTTAAAAGCATGCAAAGCACGCGGCTTGAGAATAGGTCACGAGCCGATGGCTCCGTCAAGATCGCGGCTGGCTCTCAGTGTGAGGGCAGAAGGCCCTGGACCCCGACTTCTGTGCTCGCCTCTGCATCAAGGGTCTCCGTGTTTGGAAATATTGAAATGATCCCAGACACGAAGGGGATGCCTCTCCTCTCCTTCACCTGCTCAGGATGTCCCTCACCTGACTGGGTTTGGGACTCCTTGAGGTCTCAAAAGTTTTCAGACCAAGCAGGTGGTTCCTTCCAGGGTCCTGTCCTCTCCTCTTTGAAGGGAACTCTGGCATCCAGGTTGGGATGCCTGCATGCCTGCAGTTTTCCTGCGTCCCCAGCCTTGGCTGTTCGGGGGAAATGGATGTGGTCACACAACAGGGATGTTTGTTCAGCACAGCGTGGTGTCCAGAGGAAGCAGTCTCCTTCCTTGCTTGTCCCTGCCGTAGACAGGGACCAGCGAGGCAGGAAAGGCTGCAGGACTCCGTGCGGGCCACTTTTTAAAAACAAGGTATTTAGGGGCAGCTGGGTGGCTCAGATGGTTAAGCATCTGCCTTCAGCTCAGGTCATGATCCCAGGGTCCTGGGATCGAGCCCCACATCAGGCTTCCTGCTCAGCGGGGGGCCTGCTTCTCCCCCTCCCTCTGCTTTTCCCCCTGCTCACGTTCTAGCTCTGTGTCTCGAATGAATAAATAAAAAAAATCTAAAAAAATAAAAACAAGGTATCGAGTGTCTAGCTGGTTCCAGGAAACCTGCAGCTTCTCCACTTATACGACGCAACTGCCCAGCTCTCTGGATGGCAAGCATGCGAGATTCTGGCCAGATTTCTGAAGAGAAAAGAAGCCACTGGAAGCTGTGGGCTTCCAGCTTGGACCAAGCTCACTTCGGGAATGCCAGCCAGGGCTGTCCCCTCCCCTCGGGCCTGCAGCCCCAGCTACCAAAGTGAAACAAGAAGGGCTCATGCTCCCTTGGTTTGGCGGGAGAGAAACTCACTGAAGAAACAGCCTCCCCCCCTCAGAGGGTCCTGCAAGCCTTCGCCACAGCTATGCGCTGCCCCAACTCCGAGGAGGCGCTCGGTCACCTCACTGAATGAACACAAGCCCCAAGGGGTGACTGTGCATGTCCCACAAGAGACCAGACAAATCACCAGGAATTTGGCCTCCACCTTAACCTGCTGAAGCGGTTCCTGGGGGAGGCCTCAGTGAGGTTCCCCCCCCGCCCCGCCCAGCATGGCAGGGGCCTCGGGGAGGGCGCAGTACCGGAAGGAGAAAGCACCACCACACTGCGTTTTTCCAAGTGTTACCCTTTATAAATAAGTACATTTGCTTTCATACATACAGTTCATTGTACGGATGGCGCTCTGTACACATGGGCAGGAAAATGCATTCATTTAACTTTTCACATCTATCTCACACAGCTCACATGTACAGACAATACAACTGCTCAAGCAAGTACAGCAAAGGAAAAGGTCTTTCCTTATACACAGGGGACTAGATGCCTCTGTCGGGTGTGGGCCATCCCCACTGCACGAGTTCACAACTGTGTGGTGTTCAATATATCAGGAGAGAGAACAAACATGCATTGGATAATATACTGTACAGAGAAAGTCCTTTACATCTGAGTCATAGAAAACCTAAAGGAAAACTAAGTGCATTAAAGCTTTTTCCAGCAAGTGTCTTGAAAGGACAGCAAAGAGGAGGAATCAAAATCATATTAGTACAAATCACTCTTTAATTGTAGACTGTACATGTCTGTACTAATTAAAATCATCTTGGATTTGGAGGAGACAGAACAGAGATGGAGATGCTGTGCTAAATGGAGAGGAGACCATGCCTGAGGACGGCACCTGCCCTGAGCCTGATGAGGAACTGGCCCCACTCAGCAGGAATCAGCCAAAGGAGAAAACAAAAACAAAAACAAACTGGAACAGGAAGTGTAACTTACAGGATTTCCAAAATAACCTGTGAATGAAGGAGAGATCTGGAGCCGGCATTTCTTTCTTTTTTTTTTTCCCAGTAAGCTGGTACACAATAAGGCAGGTACATTCAAGTACTGAATTTCCAGAATTAACGGTCTGTCTGGTTCCAGGGACTGGAGGGATTGAGTGGAGTCCCCCTAACCAGGTGTTCTGGTTAGTGATTAGGCAAAAGAAAAATCCAGCCAGCAAGTGCTACAAAAACAAAGCAGCTAGGCTCCTTCCTTTCCAAAGAGTAGGTCTGTCTGAAAAACGAGAGTGATGCTGGCCTGCGTCTACATGCGTTCAGCTAAAACCTGGCAGGTCAGCTTCGTGGAGATTACCAGAGTCAGCAGGAAGATATGAGATGATATGGGTGAGGAAACATGAAAGTAACACTTGATTTTTGGTGTCCAATTACGCATTCATTTGGTACTGACTTTTCAAAGCTCTGACCGTGGCCATCGCGTGGCCACAAGCATCTCAGGGCGGTTCAGCAGCTGTGAGGCATTGGACACCGAAATGCAGGTTACCAACACTTCAGCCCTTCAGTGGTCTGTGTTATAAACGGAGTTGATGAAGACCCAGTGATTATTCAAGTAGCTCTGCACAGTGGCTCTACCGTTCCCATTGTGCTTGTGTCCAGGCCCCCAGCCAGCCACCTTTTCTGGGGAGCAGCCAGAGCTGAGTTCAAGGCATTGCATGGTGAAGGTTTCCATGACACGTCTTTGTAGGTAGCTCTTACCCCTAAGCCCTTTGTTCATTGTTAGTCCTGGTAGATGGTCAGTCTGGAATTCCTAGAGGAAAAGGAGAAAAAGCCACACCTCCCAATGCGCACGCGACGGGGCCGCATGGGCCTCGGTGTGGAAGCAGCAGCAGGCTGCCTTTGCAGGTTGGCTTCTTGAGAAGTGGGCAGCCCAAGGACAGACAGACAGGGGTGGGAGAGGCTGGGACAGGGAGGGGGGAACACCCCCCACCCCCCGGGGGGGGGAGCCTGTTCCATTTGGTGGCAAAGATTCAGTGAGCAACTGGTTTTGTCCAAGGCATTTCTGCAGTAGAAAAATAATGATTTTTGAATCAAACCAGCCAACCGTGACATCTCTGAAGTTATAAAAGTTGGAAGCCAAGAGGAACTGAGAGGGAGGCTCATGGGGAGTAAAGGAGGCTTCCTCATACCCACCCATCCACCAGAGCAAGGGAATTCTACTCAGTTCTCCCAGCCTCTGCCTGGCTGAAGGTCCAAAGCGGGTAGTGTTCAAAGAGCTTATCGTGCCACAGCGGGCACAGATACATGAAGACCCCCTCCGCAGGCCTCTGCCCCCTCCTTCCTGAACCTTCTGGACCTGCCTGCTGACCTGGGAGCGGCTCCTCCAGGGGGCCGGGCTGCCGTTCTTTGCCACCAGACAAGCCTGGTGCAGAGCCACAGTGACACCTAGTGGTAGAGTATGGTTGAAGCAAGGTGACGTCCACATAACCCACCGTATAGGACTAAAATCTAAGGAAAATACTTATGGATATTAAATTAGATACTGGTTAATTTTTCTATTGGGTACATCTCTGGAATATAAAAATACCAATATTTAGAGAGGGGTTCATAAACTACTATACAATATAAGGACCGAGAATACCTTTCTCTAGGCTGTTCTGTTTACAATAATTTAGGAAAAGTGTTTAATAATCCAGGCTTAACTAAATTAGCAAACTTGTATCTCTGGACAACGACCTGGGGTACTGTACATGATTCTAATTAGTGGAATTTTCCTGAGCCTTCGAGTTTAAGTTAAACACATCTAGAAGGAGGGGCACATGGGAGAGGAACAAGAAGGGTTTGTGCTCTATTAACTTGGGGCTTTAATAGTGCACGTCTGCAACCCGGACGAGATACAACAGCAGATACAAAATGGTCTCCATTTTGTCCGTGCCAAATTCTCATGTTACACAGGTTTTCCCTTTACTTTGTAAATAAACATTAATTTTTAATTGTTAATTGTGTGCCTTACTGATCCAGTAAATAAAGTAACCATGTCTCAGGAGTCCCTAAGAAAATTGCTGGAAAAGCACTTTAAAATCACTGCAAATATTTTTTGTATTTAAAAATTCTTAATCTTTTTGATGCTTATATACAAGTTATTTTTTGTGCTATAAATGTTGTGATCCACTGCTTGATTTCTTTCCTTTTTTTCCTTGAAAGATACACTAAAAGACAAGAGCGGTTTTGCTATTTTCTAATGAAGACATTACGCACACTTAAATATCCAGTATTTATCAGAGTTACAAATTCAAACAGTAAAGTGCACCCATTTATAGACATGATGTGATGGGAACCCATTAGTGCAAGAATTCTGGGTGAACGAAACGTACAATTTGGTGAGAAACCTAGAGGCTGAGGTTTGTTACCACTGTCTCCATTTCAGGGTGATGTGAACTGGGTGAGTGGAACTTACCAGGTTCATTTGAAAAACTTCCCCCACCGGAAGCCAGACATCGATTCAGCAAGTGTTGCCGGGGGAGAGGGCATCTCGGAGATGCGGTAAGACGAGCCCATGGCAGTGAAGTAGCGCAACAGGGCACAGGCAGTCTGCCTACAAGGAAAAACGGTCTCCCGCCCCCAGGAAGGTCCAGTTGGCATTTTCTAGTCACACTCAACTGGCGCCCAGTAGTAATATTCACTCCCTCTTACAATGGCTGACAAAGAGTTGCATTTTGACTGTTGTGTTTTGCCCAATAAGGCATAGACCCTAAATTTCCGGTTTGTCCAGGAAAACCATGAGAGACCCTGGGGACAAGCGACCTCTGGGGCGAGTCTGTGAAACGCAGAACCCGCTTGCTCTCCGAGAGAGCAGAGTACAGGTTGCATGTGTGGCGTTCCAAATAAGCAGGGGCACTTTTCTGACAGACGTAGATGTTCTTCAAGAATGTAGCAGCAGCTCCTCAGTGAGGTGCTCAGGAAGGGAGGAGAAGCAAAGGGCCCCGTGGGGCTGAGACCTGGACAAAGAAGAAGCCGGGCTCCTGGCTGTGGGCTGGTGCTACAGCTGGACATTCCATCTTCTCGGTAAGAGAAAGAGAGGGAGAAGGGAAGGGACAAGATGCCGGTGCCCACCCTGGGCTAGCTGAGTAGGACACAGGCCCTAGGCATCAGAGAGAGTGGGAAGGGTCTGGGTCTTGAGCTGGCCCAGCTGTCTGCTTCTAGCACAGAGAGACAAGTCCTGGCCTCTTTCAAGCTTGGGGGCAGAGGGGTCTGTCTACTTGGGAGACTCCAAATTAGTAGAGAAATGTTTCTGATCTCAGCTTCATGCTCCCTATATCTTAGTGATACTTTCAGAGGACACTTACTATTACAAACAGGTCTGGTCACATCTGGATTTTTAGGGCAGGAAACTGCCCTTCCAATAGCCCTTTACTAACAGGAGCAGAAGGATTCCTAGTAACAGAGAACAGATTCTCTTTTGCTCAGTTTCTTAAGTTTTCAGAGCTGACGTGCAGTCAGTACCAGGCCCGTGCTAAGGCTTTGGTTTCAGTGTTCTTACTGTCCATCTCGTGCTGGCCTCAGTCACGCAAAGGACAGGTCAGCAAACGACCACAAGACACGGAAGGGTGCAGGCTAACCAGATCAGAAGATCTGCTGTCTCACGTGCTCCCACCCAGGGCTGAAAGGGGTCTGTCTTCTCCATGAAACACTTTGCAGTGTCTGGTTTTCAAAGATCGCTCCCCAAACACTCCTACCTCGAAAAAGGAAAAGAAGAAACAATTCCTAGAGTAATAGATTACAGAACTATAGATCTCGAAAGAGAATCAGATGACGTCTGGCACAGGGTACAATGGCCCTGGGTGCAAACTTCAGGAATAAAGTCTTACGGTCCGGAGAGAATTCAGTTTGCTTCTCAAGAGAACCAGTTTCTTCACTATACCACGTAGGCTGAAGAAAGGAGGGCCGGGAGGACACAAACCTGGCTCTGGGTGCAGAGCCAGCTAACAGGGCCAGTGTACCAGTCAAACCTCGGCAAGAGTTTGCTTTTGTGGAATATGATGCTCAGTGATTATCTCAGGACCTATAAAGCAGATTTCTCCAAGACAAAGATGTTCTCTAGCCTTTCACTGAGAATCCAGAACAGTCTTTCTTCCTCGGTCTCTCTTTCTTTATATTTATGTATTTCCCCCCTCCCCCCACCACCCATGGAAAATGAGTAGATTTTTAATAGTTGTTGGCTAAAAACCTAAAGAATACCTCTCAGTGGATTATTTAAGAATATCCATGATTCTCATCCGATTTCCTTTGCTGAGTGAAATATTTAAAGGGCTGGTTGTTCTCTAAATATTCATAAAACACTTCTTGGAAAATCAATGTAGTGACATTTCAAATAATTATGTATATATATTTTTTCTTCCAATTTAATAGACCCATTTCTTCTCTTTTTCCTTGATCCTGTTGCCCCCGTAGGAAGACCAGCAATAACCTACACGCACGTTCTAGACCTGATGACTGCAGGGAGCTGGCAGTCCAGGGGAGGAGACCATGGCACAAGAATGCACTGGGGCTGGCTATTTGGATAACACTGGATAAGAATGCAAAGGCAAAGGGGCATCATACTCTTTCTAAAGTTCCTAGAAGAAAACAAACGAGAACACCTTATTTTTGTAAAAAAGGAGAAAGACATTCACACAACAAGAACATCAGTGAAAGCGATTGTCTCCTGGAAAAAGCTGACCAGTGTGTCTGATCTCCCTGGGTTAAAGCACACGGCACAACAATCTCCTCGTTGGCGTCGGAAGAGAGGGAGAGAGTATGTGGCGGGGGCACAGACGGGAGAAACTGAAGTCCTGGCTCGCTGGAGGCCAGCTTCCCGGTCGGCTGCATGCAAAGAACTCCAGCATGTGGGCTGCCACCTCTGAACACCACACAGAAACTACATGAGAAATTAAGCCAGGGAACTACCTCAGATATGGAAACCAAGCCTGAAAATGTGCAGTGAAAACATATGGGTCTCACTCCAACAAACGTCTTTTAAACATTAGACTCCACAAATGGTCTCTTTGGTTTGATAGGGGATGTCTGCCCTTGTCGAGAGTCCCGGGACAACTGCCTATACAGGTTGTCCTGGTATGCCTGAGCCACAGGGAGGGTCCGAGCCACCTTCACATCGGGGTATGAGGAGGCCTGGCCGACTCTCTCCAAGAGGTCTCCACGGGACCCGTTAGCCAGCATCCCATGGGGGCTGTAATAATCGTCCTCCAGCAAATGGCCATTCTGTGCATTGTTGGTTTTGTTATAAAAGGCAATGTTGCTGATGGATGATGGTGGACTGAAGGACTCAGGCTGAGGCAGGTTGCCTGGAGACGTGGGACTGAGAACGGTATCCACGGATGACACGGCCCAGGTCCGATTCTGCTGGTGAAGGTGGGGGTACTGTTGAGTCCGGGCTGTTTTATCTATGATCCCCATGAATGGTGTGGTCCTGGATCGGGTGGGCTCACTGGGGTAACCTCCCTGAGTGGGAGACACTGGTGACAGCTCATCACATGACCTATCATACGCCGGTTTTAGTGGGATCTCCATTTGTTGAATCGAGGAAGATGGCCGGAAGGTAGGAGTGAGGTTGGAGGCTGATGAGATACTATTGCTAGATGGAGAGAAGCGGAGGCCCACGCTCTGGGAGTGTAGCAGTGGCCTGGGAGTTGGTGGATGGGGTTTGATTTCGTTCGGGTTGACACTAATAGGTCTTCTGATTAAATGTGACACATCAGGGGAACCTAGCTGGCTGGAGGAACGCTCCAGATCTAGTTTGGAGTGACAGACTGGGTAGTAGGATGCGGACTGGCTACGTCCAATCTGTGGTGTCTGGCTGTATCTCATACCACCTCGATATGCTGAGGAAGGTCGCTGTGGAAGGTCTTCTTTGGTCAACCCTCCATGCTGACAGATGGCACCCGCACTCAGGCTAGCCTGGACATGCTGCACAGGTCTCCCATCCCCTACGATCCCCCCAATTGACCCTTGATAAACCAACCGGCTCTGACTTACTCCCATGTCTCCTTGTGAAGACTGGTATTTACTAGCCATCGAGTGGGCTACTTGGCCATAGGCCCCTGTAGAGATGACAGTGCTTGAATGAACTGCTGAGCTGGGCTGGTTGCTTCTCACAATCTGGGCCTTGGCAGGCTGTAGCCTGAGCCCTTGCTGGGGAACTGCCACAGGAAGCTGAGGCATCTGGTAGGGCCGCTGGGCCATTTTGGATAATGGAGATTTTGGTCTGCCAGGAAGCTGACTCACATTTGTTTCTTGCTGATAGCGCACGGGTGAGCCAGACTGGGATCTATAGACACTCATGCTTTCGGCTGGAGGGCTGGCCCGATACTGAGGGCCTCTTCGGAGAGGGGAAGGGGGAGGGCTTGGGTATTCCTTGCCCTGTCCTCCCACGGGCGGGGGGCTAAAGCGGTAAGACCCGCTCTGGTGGGCTGGGGAAGTGTGTGGCGGACTAGGCCTGTAATGAGAGTTCTGGTGAGTTGGAGAAAGAGCAGGTGAGGTGGACTGATAGCCCTGTCTGGTGGGAGAACCTACGGAACTACTGGAACGGAAGTCAAAAACCTGATGTGAGCCAAGTGGTGAGCTAGAGATGTAGGCGGAGTCCCGATGGGCTGGAGAGGCAGGCGGGCTCTGGATTATCGGGAGCCCCTGACTGGGCCGAGCCTCGGTCTGGAGGCCGATGGAGACGTTTTCGACTTCCTGTTCCAGGTACTCCTCCTCGAATATATCCTGTACAGAGTATATATCTTCGTGCTGTGGTTCGGGTTCCGTTTCTTCCGGGAGCGGAGGCTGAGGCGGCTGCTGAGGCGGCGGCTGCACCTGGCGGCACTCCTCCTCCACTCGCAGCAGGAGTCTCTGGATCTCACGGTTGTTTGGGCAGAGCTTGATGGCTTCGTTCAGATCCTCTAAGGCTGCTGCAAACTGTCTGCTTGACAAAATGTAAACACAGGAACTGGAGTGATTCTGAATCAACAGGAATCACCAAGAGCTGAGAACGCGGTCGCTACTGCAGAGAACTGGGGGGTAGCATCTGGGGGGTGGGGTGGGTTTGTTTCGTTGGGTTTGTAAGGGAGGAAACAGGTAGGCTGTCATTCTGGAAGAGTCCAGAATGCTTCCTTAGCCTGTTTAGCCTCCATCTTCCTTCTGGCCTCTCTGGGATTAGCAGAGAAGTGGCCCCACTTTGTCAGTCCAGCCAGGCCCTTCAGGAAGATTCTCTTAGTGCCCAAATGCACACCAGGCAGTAGGAGGGTTGGGTGGGGTTGTCATTTACAGGGTCACTGTCAATTAGCTTAGGAACAAAACAGTAACTACAATATTTAAAAATCTTGCTGATCCGTCATAATTTTTTCTTTATATTCTTAATATTTTGGCTCCAAATTTCAGGCCTGTTCCGTCCCAGGCAAGAAGCCCGTCTTCTGCCCTTTGTTCCCCACTCTCGCCCCACAGCACTGTCGCTCCTCCGTTCAGCTACATCAGAGCTGGGCAGGGATTAGGCTCGCTGACTAGGCCACTCAGATTCTAATTTACAGATGAGGACACGAACTCTCAGAGATAGTCCAATCCTCTCTATTAATAATCGCCCAGGAAAGGGGCAACTGGCCTTGTGGGGAAGGAATTCTCTGGGGAAAAAGAGAATTTGACAGTCAAGCTTCTGTAAGGACTTTGTTCCCCCAGCTAGTTAAGACTAATGTTATCGCCACTGTCATCACTAGACTTAACCTGGGCTTGGATTTTCAGGACCATATCTTCCCCTGGCCTCAACAGTGAATGTGAAGCAGGTCTTTCCCAGGGAAGAGTTTGGGAGAAGGATGGGGCACCAGGCAGGAGGTATCAAGGACAGTGACAAGTTATCCAAAGATCAGTGATGGCAGGTTCTAGGTCCTTCTGGAGCCTTTCCTGCCCAATTTGGCCAAGCCACAGCGGACGGACACGGGGGATGGAGTTTCCGAGTTTCTCTTGGGCCCCCTCAGTCCCGGCAGCAAGGACCTCCTGTCTCCGTGAGGGTGTGGTGTGGCGGTAGTGGTGACCTGGGTGAGGAGGAGGGCCGACGCCGCCAGACTTGAGGAGAGCTCTGGAAGCTAAATAATCCAGGGGCCCCTTGGACACCTACGGGACAAGAGGGGCCTGTGGCGTAAGTGACTCGTCCTACTTTTCCTTCTAAAAGGGCCCGGAGGATGTTCTGCTTAAGTGACCTCTTCTTAAGTCACCAGTGTCTCTTTATGCTGTCTGTTCTAGGGGTCAAAAAGTGAGTGAGAGATGGCAGGGGCTTCGTGGAAGAAGCGCCATTCTCCAGCAATGCGAAGGCATCTTCCTCCCAAAGTGAATGTTCTAGAGCTCCACAGCCCTGAGGATCTGCCAGTCTCAAGTGGAGTTCTGTGCTACGGGAGCCGTCCCCAAAGCGTGTCCCTCAAAGTCCTCAGGGATAGACACATTTGGGTACATATGCCCCAGGATGGCCTACATTGCCTTGGCCAGATTTTCGGAAAAGAGACCTCTTGCTCGTCACCCTCTCTCTCTCTCCTCACCTGCTGCTGCGTTTTGCCCTTGCTCTTGCATAGTAAGCTTCATAAGATTTCGGTTTCAGCTCCAGGGCCTTAGTAGCAAATTCCTCCGCCATTCCAAAATCCTGTCATTACAATAGGTGTGCAAATGAGTCATTGAAGAGATAGGAAAAATAGACAATTTGGGAATAAAACAGATTATACGTACATTTCTTTGACATTTATGGATGGAACACCTGGGATTCTCGACATGCCTGGCATGGCTCTAGCCATGTGGCCCAGACTAGAAGTTCCTTCTGCCTTTGCCCTGTGTGGCCCTGCAACAGGTCCTGGGAATTTATCTGCCCAGAAGCATTAAAATACTTTTAATGTGCCTTCCTTCTGCTTTTCTAATGAAGCTCCTTCCAGCCCAGAAGCCAAATGTGAACCCAACGCAGCTCCTGAAGTTGGAAACCTGACCCCTTGATACACATGCGTGTAGGAAGGCAAACACAGCCATGTGCCTCTCATGGGGCCTCAACCTACCCCCCAGCTTCCTGTCGCACCCACTATTCCTCCGCTTCCTAAGGGGTGAGTGAGGTCCAGCAGGATGAGGTCTGTGGGAAGGAGAGCTGCACTGACCATGGAGACTAGATGGGGTCGGGGCGCCAGATGGACTTGGGTTCAGTCCTTTGGTCGGCCACATAGCCCCTCAGAGGGGGTAGTGTGTTTTCTCATCCATACCTACTTCGCAGGTGGGATGAAGTGTGATGATGCATTTGAAAGCCCCAAACACCATTTCTGGCACATAGCAGATGCTTAGTAAATGGCCTTTTCCTTCTCTTAACTGGCTTCTTACTTAGGAAGCATTTAAAACGACAACAAAAATATAGTAAGAGAGGGCCCTGGCTGTGACTGGCGTTCGTGCGGTCACCTCATCTCTTGCTCACTGAGGCTCCCTGGAGGAGTGTGGTCTCATCTGTCCTCATCTGAGAACCCTGGGAACAGGGGCCTGGGGAACAAAGCCATGGTTTTAAAGATACCCCTCCATACTGAGCTAAAAGAAGAGTTCTTTCTCTTCTTTCATTCAATGTCAAAGCCTCAGGACGGCACAGTAACCTCTGGTGACGCGCGTGATTCCAGAGGCAGAACAAAGGCCTGGGGCACAGGTAGAAATCAAGGAAAAGTAACGAGCCATCTAAGACTGAAGAAGGCAGACCTCAGCTGCTTCATACAGTGCTGGTCACGGGAGCTGCCTGCTAACTGTTCTGAGCAAGTGTGGAGCTAGAGAGGGAGCATTCCATCTCACGGGAGGCATCATCTATCACTACTCTGTTTCCGATCTTATCTTTTAATGTTTTTCTTTTTCTTTTGGACAATCATCATTTCTGGCAAGATGAGAATGCTTTTAAGAAGTAGATTATTTGTTTAAGCAAAAGAGAAGGCAATGGGCTGGCACTGGCTCCGGAGTGTTGTCTCATCCTCAATGGCTGGTGCCCTGGGGGACCCTGGGTACCGCGGGTCTGGTTCTGTTCCACAGAAGAGCCTCACTGCCTTCCCCTGGGGCATCTCCTTCCCACGGGAACTGCTACCCTGGCCACATTCTCCTCAGCACCACGGGGCAACGCTGCCTCTTCGGGCCATAACTGTGTTCTCTGGGACATCCAGGCTCTTCTCACTGCCAGGGTTTAGATGGAGAATGCGAGGGTCGTACACACAACCTCTCTGGACTTGACAGTGGACCTCTTGCCCCTGCAGCTGAAATCTCACTTCCGCAAAGCTGAGCTCTCTACTCATCGGCATTCTTTTTTGGGGTGGATTGTTTTTAGCTCCTGAGGAACTGTGAGACCTCAGGCAGGGGGTTATCAGAGGTTCCTGACACGATCTCAGCTATTCCCAGTCTCTGAGAAAGGATTCTTGGCCTGGGAGCATCTGTGTGTCACGTGAGCAGTGGCTGAGGGCACCAGACAGTTTCTGTATGGCAGGCAAGAAGGACCAAGGACTACACGGCGGGTAACAGACGGCCAGGAAGAGTTCTAAGATTCCCTCTGGGACAAGAAGGGACATGGCATGCTGGGGTAAAAAGATGAGGAAAGGAGCAAAAAGTTCAAGATTAGCCTTTGAAATAAACCTTGAAGTCCATGGTCCTGAGTCCTCTCTCCAGCCCTTCCTTAAGTGACTAGGGGTCTACTAGAAAGGAAGGGAGTGACTACAATTCATATCTAATTGAAGCTAGAATTCTAGCGACCACCTGCTCTCACATTTTCCCAAAGACCAGAAAACTGACTTGGGGGTAGGAGACAATGATGATGGTATTCCAATCACTTTCAGTGTGAACTAAAAATTCAGAAAGCACCAAAAGTGCCCACAGCATTAACTTTTTCACAGATTAATATACGGATTGTGCTTAGACTTGATTTCTTTCAAATTGCAAATGTCAGTGCTCTGTGAAGGACAACCAAGTTCCAAATGGGGCCGAGAACGATTTTAGGGGCCTGGTAAGAGCCAGTGAGTGATGTGGGCTGTCAGCTTCCAGGGCTGTAGAAAGCAGCTGGGAGGAGAGGGACTTACGTTCATTTTCCTGCGACATCGAGAGAGGTTGAGGAGGAGAGACACCTTTAGTTCCCGGAAGGTTTTCAAGTCCTCACCAAACCCTTCTCGAGGGAATTTCTTCAGGGCGTACTGGTAACGCTGGGCAGCCTCCTTCACTTTACCTTTCTAATGGGAGTACAAGATGGCAAAACACACAGTTGGTCTGCTGAGCAGCTGAGGAGGTCTGGCCCCGCTCCCTTCCTTCTCTCTGCAGTGATTATTAAGTTAGCCCTCCCAAACTCCAGCCTGGGGAGGAGGGCTGGCCCTGCTTGTGAGAGCAGAGGGTCCAGTCTTTTCAACAGGAAACTCACCTGGCAGGAAGGGCAAGGTTGAAGGGGATACCCAAGGCACAATCCAGAGAACCAATACCAGGAACCCCCAGCTTCCCGACCAGATTCCCAAGAGACTGATCTTGCTCATTTCAAAGGAGCTTTTTCTTGACCTGATCTCCTTGGGACACATATCATTTCCTAGTCCCAACCACTCCAGAGTTACTACTACTTCTTTACTTTTGGCTTGCCTGGAAAACTCTTCCATTTGATGCTCCTCCTTGCCAGTCCTCTAGAAGAGGTCATTCTCTTCCTCACAAAGGAGGTGGGAGCTAAAACGGTCTACCCGTTGCTTCCCTAATCTCAATGCATAAAATAGTATGTCAGTGTTCCCGTTTTTAGAAAAGCCTTGGGGTAGGGTGGTAGTAGAGAAGTTTAGAATTTGTGATCCATCTGTGTAGGAGAGCCTTTCCAAGATGAAGTAAATCTATGACCAATTTAGGGACTTGGTAACAGGGGCCCTGAACTTTCCTTACATTTTGTGTCTGAAAATCTATCAGCTAATAAATACATACATACACACATGAATAAATAAAAATAAAATAAAACAAATGAAAATCTATCAGCTGAGCTCAGCATGATGCAGGAGGCATCTCCCATTCATTTAGCTGATCTTAATCGGCTGTATTCCTTCTGTACAGCAACTCCACCAGAGAGTGCAATCTTTTCATTTTCTCTTCAGCACCTTTCATTAAGGAGAGATCTGGAGTCTACCAAGGTAGAATTCTGGGTGGGAACAGTAGTAGCTCTGCCTATTCTTATTAGGAGGTAGGACTCCTTGTGTTGGAATATGAGAAGCTATATTAGATTCTTGAGAGCAATGCTATCCCCAAGTCCATAAATAGGACACCTAGAGTTAATGAGGCCCTTCTTGGAAGTCATGTGAAATCCTGGCTGGGTCAGGACTCAAGTTTCCTAGAAGCCCAAGATTCCTAGATTATCATGACTTTCACACGGAGCATCCTTAGGAAACACAACTCTTCCCCCAGGAACTCAAAACATCCCTTACACAGGGGTGGGTGGGAGGTGGTAATAATGTGCTTCATAATCATTTCCCATCTTTGGGCCTCTGATATTTCAGTGAGGTTGGATTTATGTTTACCTTTAGGAGAAGAAGACGCTGCTAATCTTAACCAGATAACTGTGACATGTGATCGTCTTCTTCATTTTTTTTTTTTTTTTTTAAATTTAAGTAATCTCTACACCCAACATGGGGCTCTAACTCACAACCCTGAGATCAAGAGTTGCAAGCTCTTCTGACTGAGCCAGCCGGGTGCCGTGTCATGTAATGTTCTTTTGGGATTTCCTATAGGCCACAGCAGAGAGTCTGTGTTAGGATATTGGAGCCTTCAGCTTGAACTGTGACTACAAAAAGACTCCATACTTTTTCTGTTGTCATTCAGTGAGTGACTTTAAGAAAATCTTATAATTGCTATTTGTCTTGCTTTCCTTATCTTAGGGATGTTGACAAGCTATTATCACTACAGACTTTAAAATCTATATTTATATATTAAATATGAAAGCAAAGATCAATGTCTCTTTCTCACAGACTAAAAAATAGCTGTACTACATAATTTTACTTTACTTGTCCCATGAGTTTCCAGGTCCCACTTAGCAGATTCCACGCAGAATCTAGGTAACTGCCTGTAAGTGACCAGATAAAATTAGGTCTTCAAGTTGATCAGCTGCAGGCTTATGTAGGTCACTCTTGCTCTCTTATTGGGAAATTAAAAACTCAGGATGGTCAACTTAGGAGCCATCATTGAGGGATGGCATTCTCCCTTTGCCTCTAGAGCTGAGGATGCGACTGTCAAGACTTTAGGAGATTCTACAGGTAGAGAACAGTCAGTGGCTGCTTTGAGGAAACTGTTCCTTCCTCCCCTCACCTTATAAAACATGTCCCCCTCTTCCATCAGCTTGCTCAACAGGATGATCATGATGTCTGGTTTGGAGGTGGCCATCGCCCATGTGGCTGGACCTGTAGTGTACAGGATGCATGATGGGTAAAAAACTCAGACAATGTGAGGGTGGCAGGAAGCTAGGTGAAAAAAACATCCTGGGGGATTTCTGCTGAGAGAACAACTTGCTCCACAACAACTTCCTCATCGTTTAGACCTGGGAGTATCTTAGGGACTCCCACTGCCAAGAAGCTGCGCTGGATTTGTATTCACCTTAAAATAAGAACATCTGAACTGTCTGAGCCTGCGCCACAGGAGGGCAGCAAAGCCTGCCAACGTGTTGTATTTGGGCAGGCCATGGCTTAGTCCGGAGTTGTTTTAAATGAGGTTGGGAGAAAGAGTTTACATTCAATGTCACCAAGAGATTTAAAAAATCCAAAAAGGGCAGTTTATTTTAGAACCCGGGACTCAAAATCCCTAGCTGTTTAGTCTCTTAATTTAAAAATATGTCCTTTGCAGAAAGGGGAACCATTAAAGATTCTAAAGGCTCCCTTAATTTTAAGTAAGTATCAAATAGGCCTCCCTGGGATTTACTTCGAATGTCAAAAGACATGAAACAAGCCAACATGACTGAGGACTACTTTACCCACAAAGAGAAAGAAGAGGTTAAACTGATTAGTTTATAGACGCCTGAATTATTTACCAACTAAGCTTTTCAGGGTTAGTTATCAAAAGTTCAAGTTATTCTCTACAACAGTCGTTAAAAAAAATCTTCTTTTAAGGTGAAGTAAATTAAAAGATTAGAGGTGTAGGGAACTCATGCAGGCTAAATCAAAGAGGAGAAGGCAAAGCTGACCAAGCCATCAGACCACGCCTGATGCTGACAGCGGTGAAATATACCTCGTGGGCGACTCGGTAACGTCTGACAACCTTCAAAGAAAGGAGAAAACAAAAAGTTGTAGGAGAGGAAAAAAAAATGGATGAAGGTGAAAAAAAAAAAAAAAAAGAAGGAAAAGCAGCAGTGAGAGGCAGGCAGCAAAAAAGCCAGCATATCAGCCAACCCTCGCCTACAGGTCTGTGGGACGGGGGCGTGGATGGGACAGCAGCAGCAGGGACCGGAGAGTCTGAAGCACATACAGAGCAGGGGAAAGCAGAGGCTCATGGCAGTGCAGGGACCAAGGATGCTCACGGGTGGGGCTGGCACAGAGGCGTTGGCCCGAAGATGTGCTTAAGGTTAGAGCAGCCTCGTGGCTAAGGCGACCAGGGGCACGGCAGATAACCGGGTGATTCTGGCACAGAGCAGTGGCGACCATGGCTCAGAGGGTGCTTTCTCTGGGCCAAGAGCCTTTCCGTTCACTTGGACAACAACTGGGCCAGGGCAGAGGGGGAGCTATACACACTCACACCAAACACCCAGGGCAGCCAGGCCACTGGACCAGTCTGGCCCCCGGGCACAGATGGCCAGGACCTTCTTCCTTTCCCCTACCTATCTTGGCTCCTTTCTTCAGAAGAGTGACAACAACAGAAGTGTTCCGGCACCCCACTGCTCTATCCAGAGGGCGCATTCCGCTGTAGTCGACATGCTCGATCATGGCCCCGTGATCCACCAGGAACTGGACCTAGGACATGGATCAAGCAGAACAGTTAACACAGGGCCAATGGCTCAGCACCGCTCCACTGAGGGCTCTGGCTGCTGCCTGGACTTGATTCAACCGCTGGTCTGAACCAGGCCGGGTAGTAGCCATGGGACTTAAGGCCACAGTTGTACTCTTGGTCTTTAATGGTGTTTTGAATATTCCTGTCCTCTAGCAAGTACAGGTCCAAGAACTTTCTATCAGGAATCATCAACATGTTACTCTACCCTTAACCCCCGAGAACATTACGGATGGAGAACCCTCCCTGTCCCTACCACCCAAAGGCCCGTGTAAAGGCACTCACCACCTCGGCATCACCGTAGAAAGCTGCCAGATCCAGTGGGGTGCGGCCGTTCTTGTCAGCGTGGTCCGTAGCAGCCCCATTATCCACCAGAGAGCGCACTACTGAGAGATGACCCTTCAAACAAGCCCAGCTGAGGGCTGTCAGTCCTTCTTTGTCCATGAGAGCAATGGAGGCACCTGGAAGGGCGAACGCAGCACAGGGCTGAGGAAACACGAAACACGGGGCCATCCAGAGCAGGAGGGCAGGCTGCACGCTCTGTCGAAGCACAGTCACGTCTGCTTCCACGTGGGGAATCTTTTCATTCCTGCCTCACTTTTACTCATTCTGTAGGGACCATTCCAAATCCCCCCGTTTCCAGGAAGCTTCTCTCGGTTCACTGTTCACCTCGTCTTCAATGTGCTTAACACATGTCACCTTATTCTGTTCTTAATCTTTTTTTTATGTATCCTACTTGCATGTAATAAATTCTCAGTGAATGTTTTCAGGACTCAGCAAAAGTCTTCCTTTTGTAATAGTATAAACTCCTGGAGAGATTCTCATAAAACAGAAGGAGCTCAGTCCATGTTTATCACTGGTGATAGCACCAGGCCAGGCTCTCTCTCCCTAGAATGCGGGGGAGATGAACTCATGGGAAGAAACTGAGCCCAGGCCACAAGGAAATTCAGAGTTTAATTAAACTTGTCAGCCTTCAATGATCCCATCCTCACTCTCTTAGCCTTTCTGGTATTCTACATCTGTTTCTCTTCAATGTTCCTATATTTTCATCTGTAAGGATCAAGCATACTTGATACACTGTTTTGTAATTAGTCTAAAATTCAATATATATTTGGTTCTTAGCCTAGACTGTAAGCTCTTGGATGGCAAAGGGACTATCATTTCCTTGCTACTTTTGAAGAGTACCTAAGACAATTCTTTTCACACAGTTGACATGGCACACTAACTAAATTAGGATCAACTTACTGCCTACAGAACACTTTCCAGGCTGCCTCCTCAGCTAGACAGGGGTCAGATGTCAGATCAAGCTTAGCATGTGCCATAGCTAGGCTCAGGGTCTACTCAGCAGTTCTCTGGCCTATCATGTTTTTACTCCTAGAGGTCAGACAACCAGACCTTGTGGCTTCCCACAGCAGGATGAAGGGCTGGAAGGGACCATACCTTTAACCCTCCCTGATGACAGCCATTTATGTACTGGGTTTTCTTTTCACAATGGTATAGTTTACAATGAAAACATCGACTCAACACAGAATGAATTTGAATGTGGGAGAGAATCTAAGGAGTTTTCTCAGATGGACCATCTGTAAATTCCCTGGACAGAGCCTCCAACGGTAGAAGAAGCAGGATAAGAAGGTTCTGGATGTATATTACAGATAAGCTGATTTTCCAAAGATAAGGAACGCTGGAATTTAAGAAATTAATAGGAGATACATATGAAATAAACCCATATATTCAAAATGCATCCAAAATTCAATATGTAATCTTCCCCTTCTCTCCCCATTGCAGTTAGTAGAATCACACGTCTTCCAAACATCCACTTCTAAAACTTTGGAGTTATCTTTAACTCAACTGTCATTATTTCCTACATATAATTACTCTTTATATCCAAAATCATTTTTGTACTTGGCCCTTCTGTTCTATTCTAACAGCTACTGCACCTGGATTAGAGCCTCGTTATTTCTCATCTATCACAGTGCTTCCTAATGGATCCCCCAGCCCACTATAATTCCTCCATCAAATCTACTATTCACACCCCTGCCAGAGGGATTTTTTTTTTTTTTTTTAAAGCACAACTCTGGCATCAATTCCCTTTAAAAAAATCTTGAAAGGCTCCCCATTGCCTTCAGAATTAAGTCCAAACCCTCTTTTAGTCTGTTCCTTTTCACTTTCTTTCCACATATGTTTCCAATATTACTTCCCAAGAGCCCTCATGTACTTTACCAGACAACTTGAGTTATTGCCCCAAACCTGTTGTGTGCTGGATCTCCTCCTTGACTTTTCATTCATGTCCCCCTCCCTGATTACAAAACTTTTTTCCTATTCACCTTTCAAAGTCTGTCCTTTCCTAACTCAAATACCTTTATCAGAGCACTCAGGGTTCTCTGCTTTTCAGGTATTTATCTTCGTTTCATCCCCTCCTTGCCAGATTACAGAGTCTCGGAGGGCAGAGATTACAGTGTATTAGTGAAAATCACTCACCGGCACAGCACTGGTATAGTGTTCTGCAAGTAACGGCAGCTAAATAAAGTTTTGTAGGATTTGTTGATTTAGTGGAAGTCTCTGATTTAAGTGTGAAAAAATGAAATACTGAGGATCCCTGACTTATGGTCTGATTTACAATTTTTCAACTTTATGATGGTGCGAAAGTGATTCACATTCAGTAGAAAATGTCCTGCGGATTTTGAATCTGGACCTTTTCCCGCCTAGTGATGTGGGGTGCGATGCTCTCTTGTGATGCTGGCCAGTGGAAGTGAGCTGAAGCAAACCAGAAGGCCATGAGGATAAACAACAGATACACTTAGGACCATTCTGTTTTTCACTTTCAGTACCGTATTCGATAAACTACATGAGATATTCAGTACTATTATACAGTAGGCTTTGTGTTACATGATTTTGCCCAGCTGTAGGCTGATTTAAGTGTTGTGAACACATTTAAGGTAGACAAGGCTAAGCTATCATGTTCCATAGGCTAGGTGTATTAAATTCATTTTCAACTTAAAATATTTTAAACTTGGGTTTATCAGGATGTAAGCCCATCATAAGTTGAGGAAGATCAGTAGTACAAAGACCTGCATGTCTGCAGTGGTAAGGGAGAACAAATCTCTGGAATCTGTGTCTGATAAGCTTCCACGAGCGTGTGGCAGACACTATGCAGTGATCCAAAGGTTATCAGTGGCTGAAGAGGTCTTGCCTTTTCCAGTAGACTTGGGTTGTTCTGGGACATTTATTCCTGCCATATCTTATCCTCAGAATCCAGGTACACCCCCTATCCTCCTCCAACCCCCTCTTGGCAGAAGTAAGGGTAGATGTTACGAAACCAGACTTGTTTGTTGGCTTGTATTGGAGAAGCAAGAACCACTTTGCATGCTGGGAGAGCGGTTCTCTGGTTCTGACCCAGCACTGCGAGTCTGAGGCTGTGGCAACAAACAAATCTTCTTTGGAGGATACAGCTAAAGATCCAAAAAATCTTTGCCTGAGCTTTTAGTTTGAAATCTTAGAAGAAATCTCGTCTTCTTCTTAACTTGATGACCCTCAGTTGTGCTGGCCTGGTTATGATTCTTCAGGAGGTTGGCTTGCTTGAAGTAAATGTGCCCATAGATATAATTATAGATGTTTAGGTCCAGTTTACTAATAGGGAAGGCTAACTGGAATGGAGTCATTAGGCTGGTCACAATCACACTATCTGCTACTTCATGTAAAGGCTCCAAGTCCACTAGATGGTACTGTAGAGTCATCAGTGACTTGAGTTTTCCTTCTACAGAAGTCTACCCTCATTCATCCCTATTTTGCATAGGTGACTGAGGTCAGAGCAATCAAAAGGAGCCTGAAATGCTTTTGAAGGTGGTGTGACCGCAATCTCTTTAACTTATTTCTCATTCACCAAGAGTATGTGAATGTTAATGTCAAAAGGAATTTATTACAATAGAAGATAATATAATATCCTGATTTCTCAAATAGGGTCCCACTGTCAGCAATTGTCTTAACCTCTGTTTGCCTCCTTTGGATTACAAGAAAAATATTAGTTGTACAGGCTTAAAAAAAGATAAAAGTTAAAGAAAAAACAGTCCTTGGAAGATGAACATCTATTGAGTGTATATTAAAAAAAAATCAAAGTTTAGAGATTACAGATTTGAATTAGAGAATTTAGAATACAAAGAATATCAGAATTAAAGGGTCCCACTGTATATAAGAGGAGAGGAGAGGAGAGGAGATGGACTTTCACATTTTAACCAACTAGATTCATAATACATACTTTTTTTTAAAGATTTATTTATTTAGAGAGAGAGAGAGAATGTACACATGTACACAGGGTGGGAGGGGCAGAGGGAGAGAAACTCAAATAGACTCCCCGTTAAGCAAGAAGCCCAACGCGGGGCTCAGTCCCAGGACCCTGAGATCATGCCCCGAGCTGAAACCAAGAGTCTGGATGCTCAACTGACTGAGCCCCCAGGTACCCCAATAATATCTATTCTTAACATCTCTTAGAATCCATCACTGGAAATCATGAATTCCTTGGATTATTATAGGCACTGACCATGCAGCTCTGGAATCCCAAGACTGACCTTGTGCAAGTAGAAAGTCCACAGTTCCCAGATGGCCTTCGGAGGCAGCCATCATCAGGGGAGTACGACCTTGCTTGTCTGCCATGTTGACATCGGCTCCATGGGTGAGTAAAAGATCAACAATCTGCAAGTGCAGAGAAACAGGGATGAATGAACCAGGAAGAGCTGCTGAGTAGACATGTGCATGTTGCTCCCCACACTGGGGGATCTCCTCCTATTGTACAGGCAAGTCACCTCTCCATGTAACTTTCTACTGCAAGGGTCCCTTTAATTCCTGCAGAGTCCTAGGTACCATGTGATCTGATTTCAGACTCTCTTTAAGGATAGCCAAATGAGAATTCAACTCTGAATGTCTGACTCAGCCCCTAAGTGAAAAAGAATTTAAGATACCAAACGCCAAGATGTAGACTAAACAATCCCACAATGGAAGCTCCAACACAGGTCACTACCTATGCCAGTGCCATTTTATTGACCTCTAGGGGTTGCTAGTCTGCCTGTAGGGAATATTTATGACTAAAGTGAATACAACAATAAAGTGCCTCTGATAAAACTTTTATACTGTTTGGCTTCTAGGGCCTTTTTTCTACACAAATACTTCCAAAGATTATTACCAATCTGCTTTCTTTTCCATCCTAAGTATATAAATTAACATTTATCTGGAATTCAAACATCTGGAAAGATTGCATAGCTAGAATTTACATACACCACGTTTTCTTTTAGCAAGTTTGAGACATCTGCAAGACACCTGTTAGCAGGGATCTTTTGGGATATGAACCTTCCAGAGGACCTGTGAATATGTGGACGTGTGGATATGTGAGAAGCAGGTCACTCCATGACCACGCCAGAAGTAGCTAGTCCTTCTATACAATATAGATCATGATGATTATTTTTTTAAGAGATTTTTTAGAGATGGGCCATGATTTTGAATGTTAGGTTTCTGATATCTTCTCAATGAACGAGAATACTAATAACAAACACCCAAGTCCTCAAACCCAATGACTGCTGAGTAACCCAAACTTTGTGGGTTTTTTTTTTTTTTTTGCTCTCTGCTTCAGAAGTTCCTGTCTAGAACTCACCCCTACCTGAGGGACTGGAAGTAGCTACCCTGCTTACCTGCCAGTGGCCCTGGCGAACAGTGCTGAACAGGGGCACTGCCCCTCGGCGGTTTGGCTGGGCCACTGCTGCCCCCTGTTCCAAGAGCAGACGGCACACCTCCAGCTTGCCCCTTCCTGCCGCAGCTGTCAATGCTAAGGGCAGAGAACATAGACTGAGAACAGGTGGGTCTTGACCTCCCCAGCCCTGTGTGTAAGCATAGCAGTGCATCTGTGCTTGATTAATGTAACTGCTACTTTACCTCCAAGGATGATATTAGCTACTTTTGCCATGAAGGAAATTTTTAAAGAAAAATTATGCATAAAATCACATTCTAGTGGGCTTACAATATATGGAGACAATTGTAATAATACATTTATTAAAAATCACCTTTGATTAAACTTATTTGGTTTCATCTTTCCTACCCAGACTGTCTTCCCTACTTCTGACTTACCTCTTTTTTTGGCATCTCTTCTTAGCTACAAACCTTTCATGGGTGTGTATGTGTGGGGGGAATGTAGAGAGAGGGGCCTTGCAGAGTAAGGCTTTTTGTTTTATTTTTAAAATATTTATTTATTTAAGATATTATTTACTTATTTGACAGAAAGAGTGTGAGAGAGCACAAGCAGGGGTTGCTGCACAGGGAGAGGGAGAAGCAGGCTTCCTGCTGAGCAGGGAGCCCAACATGGGGCTTGATCCCAGGACCCCGGGATCATGACCTGAGCCGATGTTTAACCCAGGCGCCCCAAATAAGGTCTTTTTTAGAATTAGCTAGGAACCACTTCTGGCCAACCTCTACTCCTAGGCCCTTAAACCTAAAGAACCAAAGCCAGGAATGGCAGTCTCAGGTTCCTGGGCCAGTTTTCTTTTCTTCTTCATTAGTTGAGACAGAAGTTTCGAGTACATCCGCAACCATTTTCATATAAGGGTCAGAACTGTTCAAGGTAATAGTCTTAAAGATGAGAGAAGAGGTGTGACAAAGGCTCTTCTGAATATAAAATAATGGAGTCACTGATAATAAAAATAGCTATAGTGACTAGAAGGGACACAACAGGGAGAAACTTAAACAGTCTTTGTTTTGTACTATTATCAATTGTTTATGATCTCTGAGAGAATGGAGATTCATGAGGGCCTATTTCATTCTCTGAGCGCTGTGTCAATAGTAGCATGAGGGATTTGGAGACAGATTTTCTACTAAGTCCATATTTGAACAAATATATACATATATATTTCATTTGACCATGGCGTCTCAAATGCATAGGTTCAGTGTTTTAAAGAACGGAGGAGGGTGGGGAGGATGGTAAACACTGTTAGAAGGTGGCAGGAATTATGCTTTTAAAGAAAGAGGATAGAGAGCTTTGTTCCCAAACTGACTTGGACACCTGATGTGGTGGCCAGCAAGTTGTTCCTTGATCATGGCCATCTACTCCAATGGCAAACCAGAAAAAGATAGTATTTGGCAAGTGCAGATAATATTTCGGTTTGCAAATGTTCATATCTAATCAGGAAAGCAACTGAGATTCAAATCAAATGGTCACTTGAAATTTTTTTCATTCAAGGGCAACCGGTGGCATTTTGTCTTTGGGCTTGGTCAAATTCATCCACAACTGATTCATATGCAAAGTCAAACTACCTGTCAAACCACTAAGATAAGCCTTCAAGTCATCTTTTCTTTCCTCGAGGATAAGAATTTATAAAGGAGAATATGACAGTTTTAGAAGACATATTTACTCAAACTAGACGTGTCTTATGTGTATTTTCAGTTGTATTTTGGACTCTGAACAGCGGCATTTCTGCCCTATTCCTCACAGCAGGCCAGAGGTTTACCTGAGGTGAGGGTCACTTCTAAGCCCTGAAGGAGTGAGTACAGGTATACTTGACTAAGAAGTTTTGTGTCTTGTTCCTTACATCAAAGTGATCTTTGCCAACTTTATATTTCTGTTTTTTTTTTTAAGATTTTATTTATTTATCTGAGAGAGACAGAGAAAACACAAGCGGGGGGAAGGAGAGGGACAGAGGGAGAAGCAGACCCCCCGCGGAGCAGGGAGCCCGATGTGGGGCTCGGTCCCAGGACCCTGGGACCATGACCTGAGCGGAAGGGAGACGCTTAGCGACTGAGCCACCCAGTGCCCCAAGAACCCAACTTTGTATTTCTAACAGTTCAGAAAAAACAAACAAAAAACCACAACACTTTAATTCTTGGGTCAGAACACAAGAGTAGCTTAAGAACTTGACTGAAAACCATCATGTCGCATACCTTAGTTTACACGTGTATATATAAATGAGCTCTCAGTAAAGCTGGAACAAAAATAACCTGACTGGGGTCAACACTCATTAGGAACCATAAGGATCATCTTGTTGGTACATGAAACAAATGATTTGGAGAATTTCTAACTCTTACTTTCTGATTCCATTTAAAGTAGCTATGCAGCAAACCTCACTTTTAATGCCCTGTGTATGGTGGGGGGAGGGCAAATACATTCTTTTTCACAAAAGAATTTGTAGCCTGCTGGAGAAAATATTGCCAGTATTTCAGAATCAAGCCTTTCACCAATGATGCCAGCTCACAGAACACTGCTGAAAACTTAACAACCAGCGCCCATCTTGAAAGCTAAAACTTCTATTGTTCACTCTAACCTGTAGTTATATTGCTCTGGCTGGCGCATTTCAACTCACTGGATAACACATTTATACGAGAGGGAATGTTCCATTTGGCTGTTTTCTTTGTTGTATCATTTCTGTTGCTTAGGTTATGATGTAATTTGGCAGGAATCTCCAGCTGATAGCTGGACATGGTCATTAACACAGCTGGCCAATTTCATCTCAGAACAACACAACTATGTACAATGGGATCTGTACTTTTAAAAAATCCAAGAGCAAAAAACTGCTTTGGCTGGATTTTATGTAAATCTTATCAAAAACTGTTAAAACTTTTTGAAAGAAGATTAAGGTAAAGTCGGTTCTGTAAAACAACACACTGGTTCTTAGAGCAAACACAGCAGTTCGGAGCCAAATCTCTTCCTTAGAGACCAGTAACAGAATTTGTTCCCTAGCTTGTCAGCAGCTGATGAGATTATCTGACATAAATGGTCCTTTTTCAAAGCGAAACATCTAAGGAGTCTGAAGAGGCAGACAGGATGCAGCACAGAGTTGGGGAAATAGCCAAAGTCGGCTTGGATGGGATGGGGATACTAAACAGAATGCAGCAAAGCAAATGGTTCTTCTGTTTATCTATTTTCAACTGTGAAAGAGTGTAGCACAGACAGGTCATGCAAGACCAATGAGAGACAGGTGGTTGGGGAGACATAAACTGATCACTGCTATCCAAAACATTAAACATTTATTGAACTATTTGTCAGATGCTGTCTCTGCTCTCAAGGAACTCCAGGTTGAGTAAGGATAACAGACAAAAATTACATTGCTATCGAGTGTATAAGTTGTATGGAGGTAACACAGAGAAAGAAGTGTCTGAGAAGGTCTTCAGGAAGAGATGTTCATCTGAGCTAGATGCTGAAAGAGAAACAGAGGACTGAGAGCAGGCCAGGCACAGGGAGAGCACGTACGGCACTGAGGTGGGAGACAGCAAATTTATTGTTACTGGAGTTACTGGAGAAGCCAGGCAATAGATAAGGCTAGAGATCATGACTGGTCTTCTTAGGCTACACTATATAACTTCATTAATGGTACAGGTGGTCAATAAAGGGTTGTAAGCAGGAAAGTGACATCAACAAAGATCACTCTGGTGGAAGTCACAAGGGAGATGAATCACGAAAGGGTGACAAGATCAGAGATCAGGCAGTTGCAATAACGTAGGCAAAGGATGATAAGGGCATGAGTTATAGGTATCTCGTTTATTTTGTCAACTCTTGCTTCTTTTGGGTCATAGGATGGTTCAGGCCCTCCAGAACTGCTAGATGATTTTTAATGCTGGTCCCAGTCTAAGCTTATAGGACAAGGAAGAAGAGGGAGTGGTGAACAATCTAATTGCTTTTCTTCTGTACTGTTCCATAAGAAGTCTGTGAAAACCCTATGGGATGGGAGGAGGCCAGCCAGACGGTGGAGGCTGGATGTAGGCAGATGCTATCTGGAAGAATAAAGAGGCTGAAAAAGGAAGACAAAAGCAACCAGGATATTCTAGTGACCTGCTTTTAGAAAATCCGCTCTGTAAAAATTACATCTCAATTATTATTTCACTATAGGCTAAGATAAATTTCATTGATTCTAAGATGCACTTTTTTCCCTTCATATTTTTTTAATTTTACTTTATTATGTTATGTTAGTCAACATTCATTACATCATTAGTTTTTGATGTAGTGTTCCATGACACATTGTTTGCGTATAACATCCAGTGCTCCATTCAATACGTGCCCTCCTTAATACCCATCACCAGGCTAACCCATTCCCCCCAACCCCCTCCCCTCTAGAACCCTCAGTTTTAACACCTCTAAAACTGGGATGCATCTTGTGATTGCTGTGATAATAAAGAACTGTCAGTTTAATAGGCTGAGGCTTTTTTTGTAGTGGCACATAAAATAATGGCTATATAGTTTCCTATAGTTAGTGGTATCTTAGATTTGATATAGTAAGGGATACAAACTGTTGGGAACATCACAACCTTTTGATTTTCCTTAGGTAAAAATTGTGTTGTTTAGACCAGGGCTGCAGGTCACAAACCTTCGTTCTCTAAATGAGAGGGACATGTGTAAGATTTTGCCATTGGAGGAAACATCACAATTCACTGGGTCATTACACATTTTGAATGATTATGTGCTATAAGGTAGAAAGAAACATGTATATTTAGTAAATCTATCACGATAGATAGAAAAGCAACTCATAGTCTGTTCTATATTGGTGGAGAGGTATAGCAACATTTTTACACAGCACAGACATTATTTCCTAGAAATTTTCCTGAAGCCAAATAACTGTTTATAGATCTATAAATTGTATTACAGATGCATTTCATTCTAGCACTATTTAAACAGCATTTTATGTCTATAATGCTGAAATTATTTCATATATGTATCAAGTTAAACACAACACAATTCTGATTACAAGCCAACTGACATGAAGCTTTGATTTTTTTACAATCTTGAGATATGGTACATATTTAAATAAATTACTGTAACAAACTTTGTTGTGCATGTTAAAGTGAGATATTTTAAAAAGTCCTGAGGCCATAAAATTTTATTCCTTTTTTTGGGGGGGGAGAGAGAGAGAGAGAGAGAGAGAGAGAGAGAGAGAGAGAGAGAGAAAGAGAAAGAGGTGCAGAGGAAGAGAGAGAGAATCCCAAGCAGGCTCCATGCCCAGGGCAGAGGTGACATGGGGCTCAATCTCAAAACCCCGAGATCATGACCTGAGCTGAAATCAAGAGTCTGAAGTCTAACTGACTGTGCCACCCAGGCGCCCCCATAAAGTTTTATTCTAATAAGAAATTCGTATCAATAAAAATAAGTCTTCTACTTAGTTCACTCCCCTTCTTGAACATTTTTAAGAAATCCTTTCAAGTACAGCACTAGAATATGTTTGATATTCATCACTATGATTGCTAGCCTTATAATTCCTATCCATACCCTCATCAGGCCATACTCCTTTCTGCCCTCCCCTGGGGTTCCAAGTGCATAGCTGGCAACGGGAGCCTGTTGGGAGGTTCAGCAACACTGTGCCGGGCAGGGCCATGCTGACGGGAACAGTAAAGCACCATGCCCCTTCTGCAGCTCTCAGTCACAATATACATGCTCCAAAACTGCTGGTGTCCTGGTCAGTCCCTTCCCCGAAGTCTGGCCCTTGGTTTCCCGCAGGGAAGAGTCCCAGAGACAGCAGCTGTTTCCAGCTGCACGTTTTCCTTTAATCTGTCACGGGCTCTGAAGCTGCAGCTGCCTGACATCTGTTCCCTTTGGCTCTTACAGAGGGAGGGATAGTTGGAGAAGCAAATTCCTGAGCTTTGGACTATTCCACATCATGTTAAAGAAGCCATGAATGGAAACGTCACAACTTGATAGGTCGTGACAAATTTTAAATGAATTCAAGTGCCTCCTTTATTTTTAATAACACTCTGACTCTAACTAAAATACACACCCTCTCTGTTTAAGAAAATATTCCCCCTAAGTTGGCCATCTCAATATTGGTCTACTTCTCCTGGCAAACATGACACATATCTGTGGTGACTCTACAGTTTGCCCTGGCTTCATAACAACACATAAAAGGTTACTAATGTTTCTCCAGATGTTCCAGTTTAGACTTGGGGGAAAGACAACAATCATTTCCTGCAAAGACCACAAGGAAGAAGCTTCTGTTTGTGTAGTAAGTACCAAGCAATATAGACATCTCTTGGCTACAGATCAAGAGGGACTGCATGGGGCTGTGCCTTATAGGGTGGTACCTTCATTTTGCATCCAGAGAGCAGCTTTACTCAGTATATAGCAGTTTAACCACATCAGACACCACTCTGCCATGATAACACTTGGTTAAGAGAGGTGTGGATAAAAGTTTAACCTCCTGGTTTACAACTGCAGGTGGAGTTATTTTGATGGGAGAAATATTCATACCTAACTGCTACAAGAATCCCATAAAAGAATTTTCTGCTCTGGTTTGGCACATTGTAAGGAAACTTTCAGTCTTTTACAATTATTTGGAAACAAGAGCAGGGTAAAGTTTTGGTTGAAAGACAACTCCGGTGCTAATGATTTGGAGAATCCAAAGGGAAAGAGGACTGGAAGAAGGACATTGCTTGACTTTTTACTTTGGCTGAGTCGATCTCCAGTACACAAGCCATAAGACTGAGGCTGCCAGGAGAGGAAGAATGAAGGGGAGTAAGTCAGAGGGGGAGA